CGCTTCCCTGCGCCTTCCGGTCAGGGATAGGTGTCTCACTCTTGTTTCAGCCTACGGGCCGAATAGCAGTGTAGAATACCCGGCCTTCTTGCAGGCACTGGGAGGGGTACTGGACAGTGCTCCTCCCAGGGATTCCATCGTCCTGTTGGGGGACTTCAACGCCCACGTGGGCAGGGACAGCGACACCTGGAGGGGCGTGATTGGGAAGAACGGCCTCCCCGATTAAAATCCGAGTGGTGTTTTGTTATTGGACTTCTGTGCTACTTTGTAGTTGACATCCGGCCGTATGTATTGGACACTAGGGTGAAGAGAGGGGCTGAGCTGTCACCTGATCACCACCTGATGGTGAGTTTGCTCTGCTTACGGGGGCAAAGCTGGATAGACCTGGCAGACCCAAACGTATCGTGAGGGTCTATTGAGAACGTCTGGCGGAACCCTCGGTGAGGGTGGCCTTCAACTCCCACCTCCGGGAGGAATTTGAACAGGTCCCGAGGGAGGCTGGAGACATTGAGTTTGAGTGGACTATGTTCTCCACTTTAATTGTTGGCACGGCTGTCTGAAGCTGCAGCTGTAAGGTCTCCGGTGCCTGTCGTGGCGGCAATCCTGGAACCTGGTGGTGGACACCAGAGGTAAGGGATATCGTCAAGCTGAAGAAGGAGTCCTACCGAGCCAGGTTGGTTCGTGGGACTCCTGAGGCAGCCGACGGGGAGAGGCAGGACAAGCAAACTGCGGTTTGGGTAGTCGCGGAAGCAAAAACTCGGTTCTGGGAAAAGTTCGGGGAGGCCATGGAGGAGGACTACCGGTCGGCCTCGAAAAAATTCTCGCAAACCATCCGGTCCCTCAGGAAGGGGAAGCAGTTTCCCACCACCGCTGTTGACCTCGACTGAGGATGTCGCTGGTAGGTGGAAAGAATACTTCGAGGATCTCCTCAATCCCGCTGACACGCCTTCCGTGGAGGGAGCTGAGGCTGAGGACTCAGCAGCTGATCCTCTCATTTCCAGCCCTGAGGTCACCGAGGCAATCAAAAAGCTGTTCGGTGGAAAGGCACTGGAGGTGGATGAGATCCACCCTGAGTACCTCAAGTCTCTGGATGTTGTGGGTCTGTCTTGGTTAACACGTCTCTGCAGCATCGCGTTGCAGTCCGGGGGACAAAAAGGTGGACTGGCGGGTGTGTTCCAACTATCGGGGGATCACACTCCTCATAGAAATGTCTATTCCAGGGTACTGGAGAGGAGAATCCGGCCGATAGTCCTCGGATTCAAGAGGAACAATGCGGTTTTCGTCCTGGTCGTGGAACACTGGACCAGCTCTTTACCCTCCACAGGGTCCTTGAGGGTTCATGGGAGTTGTGTCAAACCGGTCCACATGTGTTTTGTGGACTTGGAAAAGGCTTTCGACCGTGTCCCTTGTGGTACTCTGTGGGGGGTGCTCCGAGAGTATGGGGTCGGGGGCCCTCTACTAACCGCTGTCCGGTCCCTGTACGATCGGAGTAGGAGCTTGGTTCGCATTGCCGGACCTGTTCCCAGTGCATGTTGCACTACGGCAGGGCTGCCCTTTGTCACCGGTTCTGTTCATTATCTTTATGGACAGAATTTCTAGGTGCAGCCTGGTGTCGGGTGGGGTCCAGTTCAGGAGCCACCGGATTTCATCTCTGCTTTTTGTGGATGATGTTGTCTTGTTGGCCTCTTCGAACCAGGACCTGCAACATGCACTGGGGCGGTTTGCAGTCGAGTGTAAAGCCGCTGGGATGAGAATTAGCATCTCTAAGTCCGAGGCCATGGTTCTCGACCAGAAAAAGGTGGTTTGCACCGTCTGGGTTGGGGAGGAGGTCCTGCCTCAGGTGGAGGAGTTTAAGTATCTTGGGGTCTTGTTCACGAGTGATGGTAGGACTGAACGTGAGATTGACAGGCAGATTGGTGCTGTGGCCGCAGTAATGCGGTCACTGTATCAGTCCATTGTGGTGAAGAAGGAGCTGTGCCAAAAGGCAAAGCTCTCGATTTACAGGTCGATCTACGTTCCTACCCTCGGTCATGAGCTCTGGGTCATGACCGAAAGAACAAGATCCTGGATACAAGCGGCT